CTATGTATAGACATATATTTATTTATTTGTGGAATATATAACATATATTACATATGTATGTTTTATACCATATATATATCACCTATGTATCTCCTATAGCTTCTGTTTCCCTGGAGAGCCCTGACTAATACAAGGGCCCTGGGCAACTTCCCAGGTAAAATTCTCTCTTCCCCCAGAAGCATCCACTTTCTCTCCGCTTACGTGTGGGCGTTGAGGTCAGTGGGATGAAGAGGAGTCGAGGAATCTAAAGTAAAAATAAGTTCCGCAGCAAGCACATGCTGGAGCTGGACGTGACTCAGACGCCGAGGCTTCAAGCCTTGGCTAGCAGGCACATGTCCTTTCATAGACCTAACGGCATCAAAACATCTGTGTTCCCATTAACAAAATGCTGACGGGACGCATAGCTGTGGCTTAGGAGAAACCAGCGCCAGAGACAGCCCCTGCAAGTCTGAGGGGTCATCTGCGGCCGCCTCAGGTCTTAGGGCTCTGCTGTCACGGAGGTGGCTCTCGGAAGTTGTCACCGTGCCAAGACTGTCACTGTGAAGAAGACCGTTGAGCTGGTCACGTGAAAACAAAAAGCTCAAGGGCCACTCCCATGTGCCCCCACACACAGCCCTGAAGCTTCGCCCATGCTTTTCAGTGCCTCAAGAGCAGACTCTGGTCTTGAACTTCATTTATAAATTGAGCCCAAACAGCAAGGAGGCCTGGAGGGAGTAGGAGGGGTCGGGCCTATGGGGTTCTGGCTGGGGACGGGGTGAGCTGGGGGTGAAGGGACACAACCTGCCTTTGGCTGGGTCCACCTCTGGGCCAGCAGGTGGGGGCTGGGGTGTAAAGCAGCTCTGGGGGCCCACCTCTCCCGGGGTGCTGGTTAGTTCTCAGAGAAATGGGAGCATCGTAGGCTCTGAGGAGTCTCCAGTAGATCCAGTGGAGTGAATATTGTGAGAGGGTTGGGGGAAGATGGAGAATTCTGTGGAACCCGTTGCTCCCAAGAGTCTTAGGACAAGACCCCCCCCACCCCCCGCCACTTCCCCAGCTCTCAGCACTGGCCTGTGTGTTCTAGAACCCTCTATGCTGCTTCCACCCCAGCTTGGGAAGAGCTGGGTGGGGTGGTGTCTGTTGTCGCTTCTCTAAGTGGTACCCATCTCCTGGCAAACTGCCACTGGTGTTGAGTTAGGCGGAGCGCCTACCCCTTTAAAGAGTTTCAGAACAGAAACGGTAAATCTTGAGCTTTTTCTCCTCAAAGATGGAAGCGTTTCACTGAATGTCTTTTCTTGGCTCCATTTCAAATAAGTTATTAACTCAAATAAATGGGAGCTGTTTTGTTTATTGTCAATGGCACAAACCCGGTGTGGAGCCAGGTTTTGAAGGGATGGAAACTTATGCCATTTGAGATCGTTGAAAGAAAAAGATGGAAAAGGAAGGCCCCGTGAGGGCCCTGGAAGAGGCCTGTGAAAGGGAAGGCCCCGACGCAGCTTCCTCAGCTTCTCAGATGTGCCCGCCCCTCGCCAGGCCGTGGGGTCGTCCCCTGGCCAGGCCAGCCTGGATTTCAGCCTCACCCAGTCACAGCTTTGGTGAGTTTTCCCACCCTGGGGGAGGTCAGCTCTGGAAGGGTGTGTGGAGCTCGTGGTTTACAGCTGGGATGTGGGCCCCTGAGGTGGAAAGGGGGTGCCCAAAGCCTGAGGGTCCAGCCTGCTTCCTGTCCCTCAGCCCCTCACAGCCCCCTCAGGCTGACCTCAGCTACATTTGCAGAGAAGGGAACGGTTTGTTCCCATGCCAGGCTTCTCTTGCCTCAGCGCACGAGGTGGTAGTGGGTGTGGGAGGGGAGTGGGCAGACAATTGTGGGGGGAAGCAAGGAGCCCCCTCCTCAGAATGAAAAGAACGCACTGAGGAACAAAAGTGAAATCGAGACCCCGGGGCAGGCAAGTTGCTCTTCTCCCTTGACATGAAAACAATACTACCAGCATTGAGGAGAAAGAGCTGACATGTATGTGTCCTGTGGTCCAGCACATGCAACGTGACACGTGCACCTGTGCACGTGCGTCCACTCCGAAGTTAAAACTGAATGAAAGCTAACAGTGGGTGCCTCTGGGCATGGGCCTTGATCTTTGTCTTTCTGTACCGTGGATTGTTTTGCAGAGTATGCTTTCCTTTTCCGAACAAGCAAAATGATATGGCTTTCTCAGTTTGAAAAGGGGAAACACTTGGGTTGTCAGTCCCCCGCCCATGACCTCATTTGTCCCAGAATGCAGGCCTCTTGAGCACTTGACCTGGTCTGTAAGGACTCCAGGCTCATCACCCAGCTCTGCAGATGAGCACAGTCATGCCCACGCCTGTGCTGGCTACAGGTGACAGATTCTGAGCGTGGCTCCCCAGGGCTCCATTGCTAGCTCTCTGGGATCAAGGACCTGTCCCATTAGGAGCAGCCACAGCATGGACCGTCTGACCTCATGTCCAAGTCACTAATTCTCCATGCTTCCTGGGCACTTGGCTTTGTCCCCGGCACACTGGTTTGCCGAGAGCACCAAGGATCTTCCTTGCACACCACGCTCTGTGTGGTTAGCATCACCCCAGAGAGGTGGGACGCAGGGATGAGCCAGAGCCTCCCGACCTTCCCTCAGGAAGTCTGCCCGCAACACCTCCATCTCCATCCCTATCTGGAATGTGGCCTTGGTTTGCTCGGTCGTGAAGGTTTTTAAGGCTTTTCAGTTGCAACTGGCAAGATGAGCACATGTCATTTCTAATGAGCACCTGGGGAAAGCAGCTGGTGTCCATGGTATGTCCCCGGTGCAGGAAGTGTCACTAGAAGCAGAAAGGACGGTTGTGCCTGGAGCCAGCAGCACTGAGGTCTAGTGGCCAAGTGGAAAACAGGCCCCTTTTACTGCATGCACTCTCCCCTTCTGTCTTTACTTCCTGGAGTCCCAAGTCACCACCCCCAGGTTCCCGGCAGTGTCTGCCCTTCTTAGCAGAGTCCTTGGCAGTGATCTCTCCCCGCTTCAAAGCTGAGCCCTCCCGTGGCCCCTTGGGCAGCTGCGGCCCGACGAGCACTCTCCCAGCTGTCTCGGCCCTGGCCAGGTGCAGCAGAGGCAGGCAGCTGCTGGCCTGGCTCGGTGTGGTGAGGGGGGTTCCCTCTACATTCTCTCCCCACTTCCTGCCCCCACTGCCCAAGCTGCCCAGCCTGAAATGTGCACCGGAGTTACACATCCACCATGGAGTATTTTGATTCAGCCGTATCAATCCCTCGTGCAAAGCCATCAGTAAGACCATTCGTGCACAGGTGTGTGTGAGAACAGACGTGACAGCCCGTTGGGGTGGTTGGGGGCTGGGAGTCACAGGGTTCCCAGTCCTGCTCTGCCACTCCTGAGCCCTGTGATTTGGGGCAAGTCATTTGATTTTCAGCCTCCATGTCTTCATCAATGAAATGTGACATCCCCCACCTTCTCCACAGGGTTGCTGCCAGCCAGTACTCTTTGAAATAGCAAAGTAGCTCTTCATAAACTGTGAAGTACTTCATAAATGTAATTGACACATAAGCCATGAAACCATCTATAAAAGCAGCAGCTTTTTTTTTTTCCCCCTAAAGGGAGGGGATGTGGGTGTGGCAAATCAGGTTTGGGTGGGATGGCCCCGTGCTGCGGGCAGGTAGGGGATTGCAGGAGGTCACTGTCCGGGTGCCCCAGGACCTGTGTGGGAAGGACCACAGTGAGGCAAGAGGAAGGAAAACAAACAAAACTCCTCTTCCCAGCAATTGCGTTTAGGGCTATGCCTCGTCAGGCCCTGGTTATGGTGGAGGCCAAGGGGCCCCATGGATTAATGAGTTCCAGGGGCAACTGGGGATTCAACTCTGTCAAAGGCATCCATTGAATCCGGCCAGTGAGTCATCTGTTTGGTGAACTCTCCAAGGTGCAGCGGCCTGGCAGGCTCCCTGGGAGTGTGGCAGTGGGTCCGTTTCCACTGTGGTGGTGGCATCTACTGGCGAGGCTGGAAGCTGCCCAAGCTGCTGAGGCCACATGCCTTCCAGCCACACAGACGCCCCACTGGCTTTTAGACAGTTTTAAAAAATTATAAAACTAATACTCATTGTAGGAAAAAATTAAGTATAACAAATAAAGTAAAAAGTGATCCATTAGTCTGTCCGTAAAAATAACCACCGTCGTCGTCTTGATCTGTCTCCTTTCTTTGGGGCAGGAGAGATGAAGCTGTGCTGCTATAACACGCAGCCCCCACATCAATGTGGACGACCTCAGCAGAGACCCACTCACCCCACAAGGCCAAGGTCCTATTGCTCCCCACTGGACTCACCCCTCCTTTACTCTTTTCCATATCCTGGCTCTTAAAGGCAATTGAAATTGGAAACCTTGAGTTTTTATCATTAAATATGACGTTTTAGTCGCTTTTAGTTAAATAAGACAGTCTTTATCGATGATAAGCCCAGTCCTCCTTTTTCTGTTTTTTATGGTTTTTTAAAAAATCATCAGAACTGGACACTTACTTTTATGGAACGCCTCTTAACTCCACTGAGTTTTTTTCTTACTTGCCCCATTACATGTTTAAAAGTACAGGAACCGCCGGGTATTCCTGTTTTGCCTGTTTTATCATTCATTTGCTTTAAAAATGTCCAAGGGAGAAAGAAAAAGTTCACCAAGGCCCAGATTTCAGGGCGTTAACTTACAGTGAAGAATTAGGGAGCGTGTCTTTTGGAGTAACAGACTAGTGATTATAAGACACTTTGGATTCAAATGATCATTCAGCCTCCCAGACACTGAGCGTCATCCATCGTGCCCTGTTTTGTTTTTGTGGAGGGGTGAACTGGGGCTGCGGTACGTGTGCTTGGGGCTGGCCGGGCTTGGCAGGCGTTGCCATCCAGCTGCAGCACTGGGCAGGAAGGGCGCTTGGGAGGCCACTTCCACGCTGCGCTTAGTGAGCCGCCCAAGGGAGGTTTGGATCTGCGGTTTGGGTGACTTCTGGAAGCTCAGGGTGGGACTGATTTCTTCTCTCCCCAGAACTGTCTCAACAAACAGCAGCTCCTCACGGCCATCCGCCAGCTGCAGCAGCTGCTGAAGGGCCAGGAGACCCGCTTCGCTGAGGGCATCCGCAACATGAAGAGCCGGCTGGCCGCGCTGCAGAACTCTGTGAGCAGGGTGGCCCCAGACAGCCCCCCAGGTGGGTCCCCAAGTCAGCACCGCCGGGGCCGCGGGACAATACTCAAGTGCGTCCCCTGGGCCATGCCTCACCTTCCCTGCCTCGCCTGCCCTCTATGGCCGTATGCACGCGCATTGAAAAGGCCTCAACCTTCTCTCCTCACCCCCATTCTGAATGTCACCCCGTTGCCTCTTATGCCTTTTCTTTCTAGGCTGGACCATCCTGTTTGCGTTTCTCTTTATAGCATTGTTGAAAAGCACCACTTTTACAGCATGGGCTGCTTTTCCTGCCCCAGCCCTCTCCAGGTAGTCAAAAGCTGGCTCCAGTTCTGTTTTTGTTTTTATTTTGTTTTTAATTCATAGACTATTTATTAGAGCAGCTTTTGCACTGTCAAGGCCCAGAGATGGGCAGCCAGTTTTCCTCTGGCCTCTCCTCGGGGGATTGCGGGGCAGGGAGCGGTCCCATGCTTGTTCTAAGTTATGAGCCTGTGGAACATCTGACATCAGTTACTCTCTGCAGACACATTAATCAAGGGCCGTCTTTGTTGTGTGTGATGAAGTTTCCTGGGGAAGGCGCTGGATTTCCTACCTTGTCAGAGACTGTGGTAGCATATCCAGAGTCTCCACAGCACCAAGTTGACTCCTGTTTTCCTTGGCTCTTGTGTAGAGAACCAGACCTGCCAGCCAAACCTCACACTTTCCAAGGCGCTGTGAGGCCCCAGCCCTCGGGGGAGCTCAACACACCCAAACTCCATGAGGCAGGCAGGCATCCTTCCTTCCTGCTACGGATGGGGAAACCGAGGCCAAGAGAAGTGAGTTAGCAGTCAGAAGTTGCTGATCTAGTGATTATTTTTTCTTGCTAAAGGCTCAACTCCCCAGAGCCTCCCTATTTTCAGGGGATCAGAGCTGCCTGCAGTCATTGGGAGTTTTAGTGAAAAGCCTGCATGGAATCATTCATAAAACTGCCCTGTCCATGTTAGAGGCCCCTGTCCACTAAACAGATGGAAAGGTAGCTATTACTACATTATTAATCCTCTTATCCCCAGATTCAGGGTCTTTCTTCTTTGAAACGTGCTAGATTTTAAAAAGTGGAAATTTTTTCTTTTCTTTTTTTAATTGTATTGTGTCTCTTACAATACGTGTTTGACACTGTGATGGGTACCTCACATGTACAGAGGCTAATCCTGTGACAACCCTGCAGAGGGCAGGGGGCTGTCAGGATCCCACTGCAGGGTGGGTAGGGGGCTGCGCCTGTGCCCGGGGGAAAGCCAGAAACTTGCCCCATATCACATGGCAAGCGGTGGGAAAATTCTTTTTTCTTTTTTTTTTAAGGGCATTTTCTGGGATTCAGGATGAATATATTTTTTTTAATTGTGAATTTTATCCTTTATTGTTTTAAAGTGACCCTTTTTGTCCTACTTAAAGCTTTTTTTTATTGAATCAAAATTGATTACACGTATTTTGGGGGTTCAACGTTGACATCTGTTGATCAAATCAATATTATTATCATCTATATTGTTACAAATAGTAATTATTCTTTATGCCCCTTGTCCAATCTCTCCCATCCCCCTCTCGCTCCCCTCCCACCTACCCCCTCTAATCACCCTAGATTTCTTCTCTCTTTCTGAAAAACTAATGGTTACTCTGTTGATTTGTTGCCTAGATGATCTGTCCAATGCTAAGAGATGTGATCAGGTCCCCCAATATTATCATAGAGCAGATGCTTCTTCTGTCACTCTGGAATGGGCTTTGTAGAGAGAGACATCCTCCTCTTCTCTTTATCTCTGCTCATGACTCTCCTTGTGTCAGTGTACTCCAGTGGCTAGAGGACCATCTGTGTGGTGGTTGTGGTGTCTATCCACTTTTGCAGCAGCCATGGTTATTGTGGTGGCTGTGGTGGGCCACCCACATGGAGGGGATGTTTTTGGCATGCTCCTTGGTGCTGGTGGTGTGCCTGGTTGTGGGAGGGGGCCATCCCTGGCCCCCATGCCTCATGTCCCAGGTGGATCCGAGGCACTGGCAGTGTTTCTGAGCTGGAACTAATTTTTTTGTCCTTTGCTCACTTCTAAAGTGGGGGAACTTCCTGTTGGGATCAGTACTTGAGCTGTGTCTTTGAGCTAAATTGCTACTTTGCTTTTGCTTCCTCAGGGAAGGCTTTTTGTGCAGCACAGGTTATAATGGCTGACCTTATAGGGACTTGCGGCTCTCCAGAGACTCAGTGCACCTGGGTTGTGTAGTAACTCTGATCTGGGCCTGTGTCTTTTCATCAAACTGCACCCCATGCAATTCTGTATTCTCGACCAGTCTCCTCTGAGTGGTCCTATGTTGATTGGGATGCAGATCAGCTGTCCTTGCTGTGCCCCAGCATTCCCCTGGTGGGCCTGTCCTCCCCACCGCCTGTGCTGCAAATACTTCCTGTGGGACAGCCTGTGTGCCACTCCCTTGTGATGACTCACCAGCCTCTGACTGGCTCCTTTTTCTCAGTTGTTCTGGCTCCTTGCTCCTATGTGGGTCCACGGGAACCCTGTTAGTGGTCTTGCTGACCTGGGGGCCCCCAAGGTCCTCTTCTCCCCTGCCACCTCCAAGCAACTCCATCTGAAGGGCACAGCTGTGGCTTTTGCTGGCTCCTGTTCCATGCGCTCAGCAGCTCCAGCCTTAAAGTGGCTGCAGCCCGAAACACTCTGAGCAGTTTTTTCTTTCTTTCCATGTACTCAGCAGCTCCAGCCTTAAAGTGGCTGCAGCCCGAAACACTCTGAGCAGTTTTTTCTTTCTCTCATCGTGGCTTCTCCTGCCTTCATGCACTCCGTAGGTCTCTCCTCCTGTTCCCCTGAGCTCTAGTGGCACCAGCTTGGCTGTTGTTGTTTTTTTATATAGTTGTAAATTGGTTAATTTGTGGGAGAGAGTGATGCTAGGGACCATCTATTCCACCATCTTGACCAGGAGCCTCAGGAAGGACAATTTCTAGGCCTGGAGAATTCTTGGTCTTCCTCTTTCTGGCTTCCATACTAAGTATCTCCCTCCAAATTTTGCAGCCTTTCCTTCCTGGGAGCATCACAATGAGCAGCTTCAGGGTGGGCCCATCCAGCACAGCCTCCCTCACTCCATTCATGTTCCCAAGTCACTGCTTGTTTCATGCCTTACACATTAACCCCATTCTGGAAGGTGCAGGGAGCTTCTCTGTGGCCGCACAGACTCATTAGGACTTGGCTTGTGGTGGAATGAATCAGCGAAGGGGCACATCCTCATCCTTCCACTGGAGCAGGGGCTTTCAGCTCCCATCCGGGCTGTGACTGCAAATCAATTTTGAATTAATTCATATGCATTCGTTAATTCCACTCACATTTATGGAGCACCTGCTATGTGCCAGATACTGTTCAATCCATCCAGGTACGATTTACCTGTGAGTTGCTCCAGCAGGTGATTTTCCATTGTTTTTTTTTTTTTTTTTTTTTTTTTTAAATTTTTTCTCCCCTTGGAAAAAAAAAAAAAAAAAAAAAAAAAAAAAAAAAAAAAGATTTCTCATCCCCAAAGAGACCTTACTCCTTCCCCCACAAAGTATTTTACACTCCTTTAACACAACAGAGTACTAGATTTTTTTTTTTCCTTTTTGTCTTTTTTTCGTGACCGGCAACGGATCGCAACCCTCAGTGTCGCACCCGTACCAGACTGGGACTGGCAACGGGATCGCAGCCCTCGGTGTCACGCCCACACCTCGCTCAGCCAGTGAGCAGCCGGTCTGTATGTGGGATCCGAACCCCCGGCGGGAGCGCCGCAGCGCTTCCCAAGCGGCGCACTGTAGCAGTGCGCCACCGGGCTGGCCCCAGAGTACTAGATTTTTAAAAAGAACTGTAACGTCATTTATTTCAGGGACTGAGGCAGCACCCTGGGGGCTGAGCACTGGGACGTGAGCTCCTGCTAGTTCCCTCTCACAAGGTTATTACCACCGGGTGCCAGCTTGGAGTTTTACTAAAGACAGGGACGTAGAAATGGTCAGATATTTCTCAATGACCGAGGGCCACCTAGAGTACCCAGAGGGGCTGGCTCCTGCCCCTCTCCCCAGTCAGGGTTGCCATAGCCGCTGGGTGAAGGGCCTGGGCTGTGTCTGGCCCAGGTGGGATTTGGGGGCAGAGCCTCAGTGACCCACCTGCTACCCTCTGGGGCAGAAGGCCATTGAGCTCCTATCACAGCCTCAGGCCCAGGGCGCCACTGACACATGGGCTGGCAGACGTGCCCTTCGTGCTGCATGCGGAGTGAGTCTTCGCTTTAACCTGCACAGCCGAAGCAGCAGCCTCATTTGCATCTGTCTAAAAAACCCTACGAGTATTTTTACAAATGACACTTGGAATTTACATTGAAAGCATTTTAGAAGTGGTTCCGAGTTTCCAGTTAAACTGAACCCAACTCCAGGCCTCCCAGCTGTGGGCTCTTGCTCATTAAATGAGCATTGACCAGGACGTGCCTGCTTCGCCTCCGTCTCCCTCCAGCCACTAAAGTCCCTCAGGAAACCCAGCTGGTTCTGCCTTCCTGGTGCAGCCAGGGTTTGCACTGTCTCCGTCTGCTCCCAGCTACCACCTCAGCCTGCACTTCCCTCCCCGCGCTCTCTTGCACCCTACATTTTGTGCTCAGGTCACAGCCGGAGTGATGTTGTGAGCCGGCCACCTCGTGCCTTGGCTCAACCCTCCAGTGGACTGATCTCATGCAGAGAACAGTTGCACGACCTTCGCCTTCCTTTCCGATGCCCTGTGTAACTCTGCTGTCCCTCGTTCCCTGTTGCTTGTCTGACTCAGCTCCAACCTCCGCCTCGTCCACTCCACTCCAGCCCCGGTGGTGTCCTTGGCACTCCTCAGACCCGGAGGGCACACTCCCACCTCAGGGCCTTTGCCCTGGTTGTCCCCAGAACTCCCCCTATGGTTGTGACTTCACCTTCAGCTTTGTTCCAGGGAGGCCTTCCCTGACCACTGTATTTAAAACCGGGCACCGTCCCACGGCATCTCCAGCACCATTCCTCACTTTCACTCTCTATGTGGCACTTGTCACACTCTGCCATTTCTTGTTGATCATTTATCGATCATCTCCCCTGCTAGAGAGAAGGTGGGCTTCTTGAGGGCTGGGTTTTCTCTTTCTTATTCGCTAATGTTTCCCTAGTGCTTAATATAGTGTCTGACACATAGAAAGAACTCAATAAATAATGTCTCATTCATTTATTTGTTCAAGAATGATCTATTGAGCATTCACTGTGAGCCAGGCACTGGGCTGGTGCTGGGGGTACATCAGGGACACAGGCCAGACACATTCTGATGGGGAAACAAACAAATCAGCAGGAAAATCCCAAGGTTACAAATGCCAAGAAAAAAACGAAGTGGTCTCACAGACAGAGAGTGCCTGGGGAGCTCTCAGCGAGGGGTGGTGGTCGGTGAGCACCCTGGCGGTGGTGGCACTTGCATGGAGACCTGAGGAGTGAGAAGGAGCCAGCCATAGAAATTTGGGGGAAGGAACATTCCACGCTGAGAGAAGAGCAAAAGCCCAGGCTTGAAAGAGAATGAAATTCTGCCATTTGCAGCAGCATGGATGAACTCAGAGAAAATTATGTCAAGTGGAATAAGCCAGGCACAGAAAGAGAAATACCTCACTTGTAAGTGGGAGCTAAATAAAAATAAAATAAACAAATAAAAAAGAAAGATACAACAATTACAATAATACGTTGAACTTTCAAAAGAAGAGACCAGAACTGAAGTTACCAGAGGTGGGAAAGGGGGAGGGGGAGCGGGTAAGGGAGGGATTGTACTACATTGTATAATGTTGAATATATTCATTATCCTGATTTGAGCATCACATTGCACACTGGTATAGATATTCAATGCTGTACCCCACAGATATGTACAATCAACTATGTTTCAATTAAAAAAAAAAAAATACCCCAGGCTTGGAGGTGAGGCTGAGCCCAGCCTGTTCAGGAGACCTGAGAAACCCAGTGGGGCTGGAGCTCTGAGAAAGCAGAGGGAGTAGGGGACAGTGATGGGATGGGTCAGCCACACCTGCAGGGTGTCCCAGCTCTGCCCCTCCCATGCCCTGCACATGGATGCTCAGTGTCAATGAGCCCGGTCTCCTTGTCTTTCACTGAGTACGCGTCTTACTAGCATGTAGAATGTCCAGCACAGCACACAGCCTGCAGCAGGCGCTCAACACAGGGGAAAGTCTTGTCATCAAGAATGATGTCTAAACAGCTGTGGTCCAGGATGAGGGGCTTCTAATGCTTCCTTTTCTCCTTGCAGTCTCCTGCCCAGCTCTGAACGCTCCCCCAGATGGCAGAAAGTTTGGAAGCAAGTACTTAGTGGATCACGAAGTGCATTTTGCCTGCAACCCCGGGTTCCGGCTGGTTGGGCCCAGCAGCGTGGTGTGCCTTCCCAATGGTACCTGGACAGGGGAGCAGCCCCACTGCAGAGGTATCACCCCTCCTTCCCATTCCACAGGCTGGACCCATTGCAGTGCAGCAAGGGTCTGCTGAATAGAAAGGGTCATTCCTTGGGATGCTTTCTGCCTGATTCCTTAATCATTCCTTAACCACAGAACAGCAGCTAGTGTGTCTGATCACTCACCTCCATGCCAGGCCTGCGCTGGTCTCTGCATGGGTTCACTAAACCCTCACGACAACTTAGTATTGTTTTGTGTATGGGGAATTGAGGCACAGACAGGTTAAGGAATTTGCACATGGTCACACAGCTGGGGGGGTGGCAGCTGAGCTGATTTACTCCTGGACACTCTGACCCCCGAGTCTTTGCTTTTCAACATCTCACTCTGCTCTGGATGCTGGTGACTGGTTCTTATCAATGTGAGGGCAAGAAGCCGCCTGCAGGCTGGGGAGAGGGACAAGAGGAAGGTACTGCTGGGAAATGCTCCTCATGGCTGCTCCCTTCGGGGACTGAAGTTTGTTTGCAAGGCTGCTGGTGTCCTCAGGCTGAAGAGACACCTCAGGTGTCCTTTCTGTCTGCACCGGGACTTGGCATAGACAGGCTCCAGGACAGACCACTGGGGTGAGGGGGAGGCATGAAAAGGTTTCTCTTCTCTCTCCTCTAGGTTTGAAAGCAGTACTTTTTTGATGTAAAGGAAAATCACACTTGGCGCACTTAATTTGTTGGCTTTCAAAAGCCTATGGTCAAAAAATCATAGATAGCACTCATTTTCAGAGCGCTCTCAGATTCATGGGATGTCAGCAGAATGTTCATGATGTTAGCTAAAGAGTTGAAGGGGAAACAGAAATATTATGTAAATAAGTAGGTTGCAAAGAGCAACATAAAGAGGACTTTGAATGCATAAATAACTTGACAACATAGAGGAACCCCAGAAAATATGCCATCTCTAAAGGTGAACATGGGTTGATGTGAGAAGCACAGAGTCACAGATTTAGGCTTCCCTTTCCAGTCTCCTGGGAAGAACGATTACAGGTATCAGCTCTTGGACCTTGCTGGGAACCAGTCAGGAAATACAAGGCATGTAACATGCAAACACACCAGGGGAAATGCCAATGTCTGGTATTTACTGTTGACCCTGAAAGATCTCAATCCAGGTTAAGCACCCCATGGGTGGTAAGCCAGGGCAGCAGAGGTGGGTGCACAAAGACATTTTATTTTCGTTGCTCTGGGTGTCTGTATTTTTAACTCACAGATTGAGTTACAGACCCCAGTTGGTTTCTTTCTCAGTCCACCTGGCACTTTCAAGACCCATCTATGTTGCCTCTGGTAGCTGCCTCATCCTCTGTGGGGTGCACCCCACATCTTATCCTCTTTCCTGGACATCTAATTGCATTCAACTGTTGTTGCCGCAAACAGCGCTGACAAGGTCTTCTCGTCTCCCCACTTTGCCTCTGTGGCTGGAGTGGGGGGCCGTTGGCTGCAAGCTCGCTTTTTTGACCTGAGCACTGCCATGCTGCTCTTTAGAAGGGCCTCCCGAGCCATGCTCCCCCAGCGGGGCTGTGCAGAAACACATTTTAGCCAAGTGCTCTCTCTTTTCTGCTCAGATATTATCCAGATATTCTGTGCTCAATGGTGATAGACATTTATAATGAGCATCATGTGATAAAATGAAAAGATGAGTTCATCAGAGAAGGTAGCGGAAAGAATGTGTTCTTAGGCAGATAGGTTCTGTCTGTTTTCTGTTGCTATGCCTGAGACTGAGTAATTTACAAAGAAAAGAGGTTTATTTAGCTCATGGTTCTGGAGGCTGACAAGTTCAAGGTCAGGTGGCTGCATCTGGAGAGGGCCTCATGTGGCATCATAACATGTCAGATGGCATCACGTGGTGGGACCACGTGTGAGTGGTGGGACCACGTGTGAGTGGTGAGTGGGTGCATTCAAAGAGACAAGACACGAGGGACAACCTTGCTTTTTTTTTTTTTTGTGACTGGTAAGGGGATTGCAACCCTTGGTTTGGTGTCACCCGCACCGTGCTCAGCCAGTGAGCGCACCAGCCATCCCTATGCAGGATCCGAACCTGCAGCCTTGGCGCTCCCAGTGCCACACTCTCCCGAGTGAGCCACAGGTTGTGACTGGTAAGGGGATTGCAACCCTTGGTTTGGTGTCACCTGCACCGTGCTCAGCCAGTGAGCGCACCAGCCATCCCTATGTAGGATCCGAACCTGCAGCCTTGGCGCTCCCAGTGCCACACTCTCCCGAGTGAGCCACAGGTTCGGCCCTGACAATCTTGCTTTATAACAACCCAATCTCATGTTAACTACTCCAGTTCCACAAGAGAGAGAACTCACTCATTCCCCAGATAATCCCTTCATAAGGGCAGATCCCCAATAGCCCAAATACCTCTTAAAGGTCCCATCTGAGTTTTCGTGGGACAAAACATATTCAAACCAAAGCAGATACAAAACACTGGAGCCCCAGGAACATAGTCATAAGAAGCAGTTGCCTGACACAGGTAGGGATCCAAAGCACTCCCTGCAGCCTAGCTCTATCTCAGCAGCTCCCGGAGGCTCCTGGGCATGCCTGCCAGCTTTCTTCTTGACCTTGGATGGTTTATTCATGCATAAGCACCTCTCTTTCCTGCAGCAGGACCCCCTCAGTGGAAAAGAGGGTTCTACTGTATCTTGACTTGTGTCTCATGGTTCTTAAACTATCAGGTGCTCCAGAGTCACCAAGAAGGCTTGTAAAAGGCAAACTCTGAGGCCTCAAAAGGCCTATTGAGTCAGGGTCTTTATAGATGAGACCTGGAAAATCTATATTTTTAATATATTCCCTGGTAATACTTAACTAAATTTTGAGAAACACTACTTTACTTGTTCTTGCTGTTGCCAGAACAAAAAAGATATTGGAAATTTCGAAGTGCTGATGCATTTTGGGCCCTAAGCAATCTGAATGGCTGACAGCCTCAAGCAGACAGTAGACTGAGCACATCTGCACCGGCCAGGGAAGACACCTGTGCATGCACACTACCACTTCTCCTGATGTTTTGGGAAGGCCAAGCCAGCCCTTGCAAAGACCAGAACCCCCAGCCCTGCTGAGCAGACTTCCCTATCCTGAGACTTGTAGGTCAGACTTTCCCTGGAGGACCACTATGTGGAGCAGATGGTCTGACCTGCCACTCAGCCAGCAACTTTGCTGACCTTTCTCATGGTCCAGTATAGTGCCCCTCCTGATTCTTGCCCTTGAATTTACAGCTCATTCCAGATGTGCCTTGTGTTCTATGTCTCCCCTCTCCCCCAGCCTCCTTCCTGGCCATTTATCCTTCTTCCCTGACCTCCACACCGAGGACTGCACACTGCAGCCACCCTGAGCTTCCACTGGGGCCATATATACTATCTAAAATTTGGGAAGGATTAGCTCAGGGAACAAGGTGGTGGCCAGTCCAAAATGAGATTTCAGATGGATACTTTTCATCTCTTTAAGTGTAGACTGGGTGTGGGAATACATCCCATGGTAATCAACAAAAACACTTGCATGTCACAACCAAACCCAAGTTAGTAGCCTGTGCCTGTGTTGTACTTCTGTTCTTAGCGTGAATTTATTTGATCAATGGATGTCTCCAGTAAGAGCTTCAAAATGGTGCCAACCAAGCCTGTCAAGAGGGAGAAACAGTGCTTCTAACTGCTGTTTGATGACCAGTTGTGACAGTATGAGCAGTGTGGATGGGACATTGGCTGGAGTTCAACAATCCAGTGACCAGCCACGCAATCTCATCATCAGCCATTGAGTGCATCCACTTCATTTTCCATATCGCCAGTCTTCTCACTGTGTGTTGTGACCACAAGAGGAAAATAATCTTCTTAATTATGGAGGATTCATTTTAAGACCCAAAGTGTCAGCGTCAGTGAAAAATGTGGAAGCACTTTAGTAACCGTCCCTCACCCCACCCCCAGTCAACTGCTTGGAAAGAGGGTGATGAACCCAACTTGGCATGGAAGGAAATTACACATAATTATGCCATTAAAAACACAGCAAGCAGAAGTGAGCTTCAGAACCCCAGGATGGAAAGCAGCCACTTGGCTTCCTGGATTATTCTCCTTTCCCCCCTTCTTTCTCTGAAGGGCAAGTTTTTAAGATTTGAAGCTTTCTGAATTGGGGAAACACAGCTGGAGGACTTGTTTCTGTGACAACAGGGGAAACTAAAGAAAAAACCGGAGAGAAATAAATACCTTTGTCACTTACCACCGTGCTGGGGAAAAGTGTTTTTATCAGTAATCCCACCTTTTTTTTTTTTTTAATCTTCATTCATTCAACCCATTTTCTTTTCATTCTTTCTTTTTTTCTTTTTTCACCAACTGATCATTCAATGCATTTTCACCAAGCACTTCCTGTGCACAAAGCATTGTGTCAAGTGCTGGGGATTCTGTGCTGCGTCCTGCAGACACTTCACCAGCCTCCTGGACTCATGTCCTAAGGGGGAGACACAGCAAAGCAAGTGGCCAACCACAAAGGTAGAGGAATCAACAGGGCAAATGGTTTGACAGGATCTAACAAGTGACAGAGCGTCAATAACCTGGGACGAGGAACAGTGAGGGCCTCTCTGAGGAGGTGACAGGGACACTGAGATGAGAGGATGAACAGGATCTAGTCAGGTGAACAGCAGGGGGGTGGCTGGTGTGGGGAAGACACCATCCCAGGAAAAGGGAGTAACACACCCAAAGACCCCAAGGATGGGAAGATTTGGCATGCTCGAGGAAATGAAAAAATACAACAGAGCCCTGTTGCTGGAGCAGCGTGAGCTGCGTGATCTGGGCGAGGTGGAGAGACACGCAGCCAGCTCCTGTGGTCGTGGAGGCCATGCAGGTGGTGGGGGGTTTTAGCTCTGAGCACAGTAAACAGGTTTAAGAAGAGGAGGAGGGAATGCATGGGAGGTGACAGGAATGGAAGCTCGGAACCCACGTAGGTTGCTTCTGAAGTCCAGGGAAGGGGTTATGGCACAGGAGATTCAAGGTGTATTTAGAGACAGAACTGATGGAATGTGCTGCTATCCTGCGTGGGCTGTGAGAGAGGAGGAGACGTCAAGGCTCCCAGACTTGGGATTGGGTCACGGGGTGCAGGGTGTCATTTGAGATAATGAAGACTGAGTGACAGATGTAGGTTTGTTTTTAAACAGCCTATGTGTGTCATTGCTTGGAATTCCATTTTGGACACGTTAAGTTAAAATGGTTGTGTGACACCCTAGTGGCGATCCATTAATTCAGCCCACGGACATGTCAGGTGATAGTTGGGTAAAGTCTAGAGCTCCAGGAAGGAGGGTTGGAGATTCACGGTTGGGAGGTATTAGCATAAAATAATATTTAAATCCATGGACAGTGATGGGGCACCCATGAGGAAAGGGTAGAGACAGAAAAGAGGCTCAGAACAGAGACCTGAAGGGCATGCAGGGTCAGGTGGAGGAGGAAGAAAGCTAAAGGAGACAGGAAGAGCCCTCAGAGGCAGACCACGAGGAGGCTGCAGAAAAGCAGGGTCGGTGGCACTGGATTGAGGGCTCAGAAGATTATTTTGCAGTCAGAATGGAGCTCAGCTTCAGTTCATCTCATCTTCTTATCATGAGTCCTTTCCTCAGAGACCTTTAAAAAAAGGATCTGAATAGAAAGAGCTGCCTTTTATATAGCAGCCACGTAATAGTGAGTAATCGACTGGCTGGCTGGTTTACTGAATGAATGAATGAATGAGGGATTATATTTTAAAACCAAATTTCCTTCCAATCTTTTATCTAAGCAGATATATGCAAGTTTCACATATTTAATATCACTGTGTATAGATGTTAACAAGCAATTCTCCATTACTTCTTTTTAAATATAACTTTTTATGATTATGAAGCATTTCTCAAAGGGCTATTCTACACCTTATTGAACGATCTCTTTATTGCTTCCAGGTCTCCACAATCAGAAATAATGCCAAGACAAGCATCTTAAAACATTTTTCTCATTATGGAAAATTTATTTCAAGCACACAAAAGTACAGAGAATAGTAGAATAACCTATGTACCTAAAACCCAGTAATTATCAACACAGCAAATTCCTTAATACCATCAAATATCTAATTAGGGTACAAATTTCCCTAGTTGTCTCATATTTTTAACACTGTTTGAATTGGGGTCCAAATTAGTTTTATGACGTACAGTTGGTTGACGCGTCTCTTACGTCTTGGTGGGCGTTGCTGCAGTCCTGGTGCTGATGTCTCTCCAGCTACTTCCTCAGGAGGGACTCAGGGGGGCAATTCCCTGAGTTCTCCCACTTCCGAAAAGTGTGCAGCATTTTTACTGGATGCCGGTTTGATTGGATATAAAATACCTGCCTCACATTTTTCTCTCCTTAAGTATCTTAAATATGTTACTCTGTGTCTTCTGTCTTAACTGATGCTGTTGTTTCCATCATAACTATCTTGGTCTTTTAACCTGGATGCCCAAAGGAATTTTTTCTTTTTCTTTAAAATCCAGTCATTTGACTAGGATCTGTCTCAGTACCAGCCTTTCTAGGTCAGTTTTCTCAGGTGTGGGGTTCACTGTTTCAATAGGAAGTTTCAGGTGCTAGAGCAGACTGCCCCCTGGGAACCCGCCAAACTTTCCAGGTTGAAGCCCAAATATTGAGGAGATTCTAGCGGCAGGAGAATCCCAGTTAAGCACAGCAAAAAAATTAGGTGCAAATGAAAGAGATAATTGTCCAGATAAAAGTGCAGAAGGAGGCAGAGCTGAGAATGTGTGAGGCCCTGTTTCTGCTCACACTGAAAAAAAAACCAACAGAAGTGAGAGTTTTAGAGTCATGAAGTTAGCAAAGCTATATGAGAAAACTTATTTCACTTATATATAAATGTTAGAAAAGGACTTGTCAAATCCCATACAAGCTATTATGAGAAAAAAGAGAATAAAGTCTCTCCAGACAATTAAGAAATGCCAGACGTGCCCATAAAACAGATGACAACTGTAACCTAATATTTCAAAATAAGCTAAAAGAAATTTTAAAAGATAAAAACTATGAAAGAGCGGCATAAATAAAAATGAGAAAACCTCAGAAATAAGATGATAGTAGAAATGCAAAAATTGAGATGACAGAATACTGGAAAGAATCAGAAAAAACAGAACCCACAACATGTCAGGCATACAAACCACTTAGCTTGCTTTCATGGACACAGTCAGTGCTCATTCAACAGTAGATTAAAACAGGACTGTCATCCTTGCGTTGGCTTGCCAGTGCCCTCTTTACAGCTCTGAAGTCGCCATGCACTTCACTAAATGCCACAGCCTGGGACACATGTGAACGTGATGACAACTGTGCTTCCTTCTGGACACAGATGCCCACAGACTAGCATCAGGCAACTGAAGGCCTCTGACTACATATCAAGATAAGAAATAAAGAGAGTCTGTTCGGAGCCTGTCTAGAAATGAATACCCTGGGCAGACCCAGAGAGGGAAGCAGAGAACAACATTTCTCTGTCTAGCTGATGACCCCCCGGCCCCTGCCCACGTGGGCCAGGTGCAGGCCACGCCCAGCGCCTTCCACTGGAGGCCCAGCAAAGGAGAGACAGTGGCGCGGGTCCCACTAGGGCCAAGCTGAAAGATATCAGTGTTCACACTTTTTGGCTCTCTGCCCACAGTTTCACGGCATAGTGATCTGCCCACCTTCAGATGAGGTTGGTGAGCAGTGATGCTGGGCAATGGGTAGAGATGGGAATACCAAGCTTTGCGTATAAATTAGCAAAGAAAAATCACCTGTGAGCCCACCACTCAGAGAAAAATCTATTGAGCCTTTAAAATCTCTTTCTCTCTCTCCATATAGCTTTCTCATAAAATTGTGTATGTGACCAAGGAACATCTCCCTTTACCAACACTGAGGAAATGTCAGGAAACTCCAACCTGGTCGAGCATAGGAGGGCTTCTGAATGGGGATTTGGAGAGTTATTTTTTCGCCCTCCCTAGATATTCCAATGGGCCATTCCATTATAACTCCCCTGAATTTCGTTCCTGTGTAAAAGGTGTTCCACCTGGGGTCTGACTGATGGAGGCAGAGTTGGTGGGCAGGAGGGCCCGACTCAAAGGCAGTGTGGGCAGATGCCTGTGGGTAGCCTCTTCTGCCAGCTAGCTGTCTACACTGCACCTTCGCAAATTAGAAAAGGGTGCCTCTGGGTGGAGTGGGGCGGGTGATGGCCGAGGCCCTGTAGGCAGAGCCCCAGGTAAGGCACAGTGCGTGCCGGGCTCTGGGGAGTGCTGAACGGAGGAGCACTGGGGCCACCTCTCAGCCCCACCGGCCCTGTGCAGCTCTTGCTGGTGGGCAGGTAGAAAGCCGGAACCATCCTACACTGTAAAGAAAGTTAACACACCAGTGTCTTCTGCTTGTGGTAGAACTAGAACTCACATACTTCTATTTGAGGATTATCTATCTTCCCAGATATCAGCGAATGCTCCAGCCAGCCTTGTCAAAATGGTGGGACGTGTGTAGAAGGAGTCAACCAGTACAGATGCATTTGTCCTCCAGGAAGGACTGGGAGCCGCTGTCAGCATCAGGCCCAGACTGGTATGTAGCCACTGTGGGGTTGGGTGAGGATGTTCTGCTGCAGGGAGGGGAGGACCCTAGTCGTGGTTGACCAAAAGTGACATGTTGGGAGCTCAGTGCCCACCCCTCTCCCTCAGATGTAGGCTTTTCCTCTCTGTTTCATATCCATTGATCCCTCTGGTTCCCTAAGGTGGTCACTTGGATGGAGCTTAGCTCTTTTGTGTAACCAGAGTTTTGATTGCTCTTATGGAAGAAAACATGAGTGGAAGAACTGACTCCCAACCTAAAAACTCTGTGGACTGGAATTTGTCCTGCGAAGTTTCATGTTGACAGCCTGCTTGATCAGCATTTCTTCCACTGCAGAACTGTGTTTCCTTTCAAATGTTCCCATCACATCCTGCAAAATTACCAGTTATTGATGCAGCCAAAAGTATTTTAAGAACTGGATAACTGGACATTTAACTGGTGATGTGGTTATTATTCACATCTTGAGGCCCAATATATCCCTAGCCAGAAAGTCTAAGAAGTCACACAGTGGCTGGTTTTGCAAATGGCAAGAAAATCCAATGATAAGGAATCCATGGAGGATGGACAGTTTCCCACATTATGCTGCAATGAAGATTTCTTTTATAAAAAAGTCCAACCCAAAAGATGTACTGTTCTTTTGCCAGAAAAGCCTGGCATGTTCTGGGTGTCTTTATTTTGGTGTGGAAACTCTGTGTAGGGAGGGAGCACTGGTGGTTAGCATAGTGTCCATAGGAGCTTTCTCAATAATTGACATCTTCGCGTTGGAGCCAGTCCAAGGTCAGGTTTAAATAGTTTCCCCAGAGATTTGCTGCTTATCATGCCTTGATTCACTTTAGGTGAGTCAGCCTGCTGGCACTCTCTCAGAATGTGGATGCCCTCCGGGGTCGCACAGGACCCTTTACAGTTCTTGTCCCTGGGGCTACTGTCTGTGGAAACAGAGGCAGGACACAGGGTCTTCTTGACAGCCCCACTGCCCTCCCCCTCTTTAAAAACAAGAGGAGAAAAGAAATGGGCTCTCTTTTACCCCAATGTGTGTGCCATTGTTGGACACAATGTTCTAAACCCTGCTTGTCCAGATATCCCCTGCTGTAGGACTTTGAGGCCATTGTTTCTTGAGTCCAGGAGGCACTTTATAGAGTATTCCATGACAGGAATCCTCACCAGGAAGGGGAAGGAGGGAGTGAGCAGGAGCATCAGAGGCCAGCTTGTGTCCTTGTCCTAGTATCCTTGAACAGCTCAGTAGACACCTGAGCTCTGCTCACCTGGTGCCTCAGCCTGGAGTCTTCCTTCCCATCAGCTGGCCAGTGTCTTTCTGGCTCCCTGGGGGAGCCACCCTTCAATTACTTTTTAAAAAGCTTGTGTCCTTGTCCTAGTATCCTTGAACAGCTCAGTAGACACCTGAGCTCTGCTCACCTGGTGCCTCAGCCTGGAGTCTTCCTTCCCATCAGCTGGCCAGTGTCTTTCTGGCTCCCTGGGGGATGCTTGCGTCCTTGTCCTAGTATCCTTGAACAGCTCAGTAGACACCTGAGCTCTGCTCACCTGTTGCCTCAGCCTGGAGTCTTCCTTCCCATCAGCTGGCCAGTGTCTTTCTGGCTCCCTGGGGGAGCCACCCTTCAATTACTTTTTAAAAATCCATTCACCTTATTTTTTATTGTGGTAAAGATATGTAACATGAAATTTACCATTTTAACCTTTTTTTTTCCCATTTTAACCATTTTTAAGTGTATAGTTCAGTGACATTAAGCACATTCACACTGGTGCCACCATCACCACCACCCGTCTCCAGAACTCTTTTCATCTTGCAAAACTGAAGCGCTGTACCCATGGCACGACTCCCCATTGCCTCCGCCCCGAACCCCTGGGAACCACCACTCTACTTTCTGTCTCTATGAATTTGACTCCTCTGGGGACCTCAGATAAGTGGAATCACACAGTATTTGTCCTCTTGTGCCTCTGATTCGTTTTTCCACCTATTCCTCTTCAATCTCCCCCAACCATATGAGAGCTCTACATCCTTTGAAAATTTCTAAAAAATGACTTCCCCCACCCCCCACTCCCGCATTAGAAAAGTAATCTATGTTCTTCGTAAAAACGAAAACAAAAATGTGAACATTTTAGAAAAAAAAAATACTCCCCCAAAATGAAAAAAAAGTAGTGGCCCAAAGTTTTAACGCTTGTGATCACTGTTAGCATTTTGGGATTGAGCATGTGACTTAAAATGTGACTTAGCAGCACAGCGGGCCTTCTGTGTGTGCGGTGCAGGGCTTGTTTCTTCATGCGGCGTTGTATTCGGGTGCGTTCCTGTCTCCGTCCCTTTGGGTGTGCCCTGGACCGGTCTGCTCAGTTGATGGTTAATTATTTGTCTTTCCCTACCCCAGAGTAAGCTCTCTGAGAAGGGGCCGTGCCCCCGTCTGGGTTCTCCTGCCGCCCCCTACGCAAGGTTGGGCCCGCGGCAGGTGCGCCAGGGCCCGCCTCTGACGGTGTCTTCTCCTCGCAGCCGCTCCCGAGGGCAGCGTGGCCGGCGACCCCGCCTTCAGCCGCGCGCCGCGCTGTGCGCAGGTGGAGCGGGCGCAGCACTGCAGCTGCGAGGCCGGATTCCACCTGAGCGGCGCCGCCGCGGGCGACAGCGTCTGCCAGGGTAGGCGCGGGCTCCGCCCGGGGACGGGGACAACACGGGGGCTGGGGAAGGGGCTCCCATCCGCCGCGCTCCTACCTGCACGCGCGCAACCTGCCTGCGCCCCGGGTACCGGGGGATTGGAGGGGGGCTTCCCGGGCGCGGTCTCAGAAAGCCCTGCCCACTTGGCGTTTCAGGTAAGTGTTGACTAGGATGTAGCTAATACGTAGACATCAGGGGCCGTCATAAGAAAGCAAGACTAGAGAAAGCAGCCGGGAGCGTCCCGGCCTATGCCCAAGCCATGCACACTCGTCCAGAAGATCCTTGGCCCCGTGAACGCCTCCATCCTGGCTGGGATCACATCAGAGGGTGGCAGGGAGGAGCTTGAATCATTGTGCTGGTAGACAGGGTGCCCGTGATGTGCAGGGACTGGGTGGGACTCATTCCCTGGTCCCTCTGAGCTTAGCTTTACTGAACGGCCACTCTTGCTAATCTCTCCTGATTATCAGAATTCCTTCCCCAAACAACTCAAACCGGAAGTTCAAACCTGAGATTTGGTCAGTTGGTGCTAAGTCTCATTTTACGGCAGCAGAAAGGAGAGACCCTCTTGCTCCATTCCCAAAGGTGAGGAGAGATGGGGCTAAGGACCTAGCCCTTCTCTGGGCTGCCCGCCTGATTGACCAGCCTTTGCAGGGTCTCCCGAGTTAAGTGTTCAGCCTTAGTTAGAGGCGCCCCTCTAGGGTCTACCACATCAGCTCCCTCTCACTCCTTTCAGCCCTCTGGGCGTTGGCTCAGGGAAAAGGGGAGCACACCAGCTCCTCTTGCAGGCGTTCTGCTGGGGATAGGACTCTGAGGCCACACGGGGCCTGGCCACTTAGCTGCAGCTGCCAAAGAACCCAGGAATGGAGAGGTACAGCCGGGCAATGCCCACTGCATGGCTCTTGGGTTCACAACAGGTACCTCTGTCCCCAGATGTGAATGAGTGCGAGCTCTACGGGCACGACGGGCACCCCCGGCTCTGCATGCATGCCTGCGTGAACACCCCGGGCTCCTATCGCTGTGCCTGCCCCAGCGGATACCGGACCCTGGCTGACGGGAAGAGCTGTGAGGGTGAGTGAAACTGCAACAGAGGCAGGTGAGTGGGCATGAGGGTGCTCTCCAGCCACACTGTCACCTGCTGCTGCTGTGACCACCACCCCCAGGACCTCACAGCTGGGAGTGGGGTGGTAGAAGAGGCAGTCTCATATCCAACATCTTTGAAATATCACCATCAGGAGTTTCTCAAAGACCAGGCAACAGCATCGTCTACATAAATAGGAGATGAATTGCTCATCCTGGCAAATAGTCTCTTCCTACCTTATGTGAGTAACTGATTTCAGGGTCAGATCACTCCACCCACTCAGCAATGCCTTCAGCTAAGGCTGGACCCAAAGGCAGAGCAGCCAGTTAGCCACCGTGTTGTGCAATCTGGAAGAGTCCACGAGGCTCCTTGGTACAGTACACTTTCTCTGTGGCCCTGTGTGGGCACCTGCAAGCCCACCTCTGAAAGGTACAGCAACATATAGACACTTATGCCTTAGTGTGGTCAGGCTGCACAGCACCAGCCCTGACTGATGGCTAGCTGAGGGCAACAAGGGAGGTGGAGCACCCAGGGACTGGCAAGAGTGGGGGCCCATTACTACCCTTGGGCTTGAGGGGCAAGAGGAGGGAGAGGTGTTATCAGAGCCTGACAGATTGTGGCCATGGAGGACCCAGCTGCCACCTGAACTGCACCCAGGCAGGGATGGGGCAGGGGAAGAAACACCCCAGGCCCTCAGGCCTCCCACTTGCCAAACCCAACTGCAAGCCAGAGGGCCTGGGAGCTGGGAGAAAGAGTCCAGGCCAGTCAGCCTCCCAGAAACAGAGTGCTCCGGGCTGGAACAGACAGCCTCCAACTGGGCAGGCTCACTGGATGCATGCAAAGGAGCAGAGGACTCACACAAATGATGGAGTGGCGATGTCTGCTTTCAGCATGGGGCAGGCTGATAAGGAAGGCTTTCTGGAAGATTTGAATCTTAAAGGGCATCATAACAACCACAGAGGAAACTCGGGAACACTTGGGCTGAGAAGGACAGGTCTGAGAGATGCATTGTGACCGGAAACACTCATAAGGTGCTCTCCAGCACCCCTGTCACCTGTCATACCCCAGGGAAGGAGGACAGGACCCTAGGGAGGGGTGTTCCCCAGCACGGCTCTGCAGCACTTCCTCTAGACCCTGATTCCAAATGGTGAAGGAAGCAGATTCCTGCTTTAAGAATAAGCGTCAGGTATTCGGAAAGTTCAGCATGTGTGGAGCATCTCATTCCAGTACTTGTGGGGGCCTTTTATGTGGTTCTGTCTGTGATGGAGGGAAAGTCCAGGGTTTTCACCCTTACTGTGTTTCTCGTATTTCAGATGTAGATGAGTGTGCCAGCCCACAGCACATCTGCCCCCGGGGGACAATGTGCATCAACACCGGTGGAGGCTTCCAGTGTGTAAGCCCTGAATGCCCTGAGGGCAGTGGCAACGTGAGCTACGTGAAGACGTCTCCATTGTGAGTATAGCCGGCGCTGCGCACAGCTGGGCACGTACATCCCTCACCCAGGCCTCCCAGTGTGGCTGGGCCTGATTCTTCCTAGAGGCTCTTGGAAGAAGGAACAGTTTTGTCACAGCAAAGGGGAGAGACAGGGAGCTGGGAGTCTGGTTTCTCTGAGCTTCCATTTCCCTTTAGTGGTTGCATTTAGTGCACTGCTTTTGCTCTGGTGCAGTAAGAACCCTGTTTGCCCTGATGGGAGTAAGGTACCATCGGTTCCCCTGCTACTTGGATAATGGGACCGTAGCCCATTGTAGGCAGCACTGTCACGGCAGGCCACTGGAGGGAAGAGGCACTGGTGACATGACGTTACCTTGGTAAATGCCACAGCAGCCCAGGAGGCAGGTACACATATATTACACTGATGTGGGAGCGGATCACTTCTCATGTTCACATAGCTAGTAGCTGGTAGACTCCAGGCACATTGAGTATCCCATGCACTTGGCATTATATCACTCTGCATTTTCAGTGGTACTAGAAGGTTCAGCGTCTAGTAACCTCAGCACTTAAACAGGAAATAGGGGGTTTTTTGGTTTCTTTCTTTCTTTCTTTCTTTTTTTTTTTTTTTTTGAGTTAGGAGATGAACCTTATTTTAAGGGGAATAACTACAAGCAAGGGGCCTTCAAAAAGTTCATGGAACGATCTGTATTATCTTTTAATTCAATTTTCCCATGAGCTTCTTGAAGTGCCCTTGTACAGCTATGACAAAGCACATGCTTTTCCTTCTCAAAAAGAGATCATGAGAGCCCTAACATAATCTTTAAAATGAAGAGAACTGACTTCATAAGCTTAGTTATTTGAATTGCTTTTGGATTAAAGCAGATTGGAAGTAGTGTAAGTCAGTGGCACTAAAGAGTGGCAGTTACTGGAAGGAAAATACCAGAACCTTCCTCAAGGAGTCACTTAGTGAACAGACAGAGAACCTGTCTATCATAGTTTCTGGGAACATCAGATTAACAGCTGGATGTGGTATTTGATCTGCATAATCACGATGATACAGAATCACCAAATATGCTAAATTATATTTGTCCTTTATATTTGATAAGGTAGAGAACTATCTAAAGCATTTCCACAAGACCCTGACTCCAAATGGTAAAGGAAGACAGGGTTTCCTGTTTTAAGAATAAGCATCGTCGTATTTGGAAAGCTCAGTGTGCTTGGAGTGCCATGTTGCAGGATGTTGCCAGCTAACTGCTGGGGCCCCACCGTGACTGAGACAGGTCTCAGCACTTGTAGAAAGGGCACCCAGAATCACCATCGTTATTTAATCTTCCCAGGCTTTCTTGTTCTGTAACAACTATAATAATGGCATATATTCGAGGGTACTTCAAAAAGTTTGTGGGAAAATAGAATTTAAAGATAATACGAATCTTTCCATAGACTTTTTGAAGTACCTTGTGTGCGCACACATGCATACAGAGGCAGGCCAGGGGAGCACCTAGAAACAGGAACAGAATCAGCACCCCTCCCCTAGCCATGCCTGACACCAGCCACATTCACTTGCCTGCAGCTCTGGAGCTCCTTGCTGAGGGACTCACGGATGGGAAAGGTCAGCCAGGTGGCCTCTGCAAGAGGGTAGGTGGGACAGCCAGGTCAGAGCAGCCCTTCTTTAGTTTTCCCACAGCTGACTGCTTCCATTTTGCTTCTCTGCTTTAGCCAGTGTGAGCGAAACCCCTGCCCCATGGACAGCAGACCCTGCCGCCATATGCCCAAGACCATCTCCTTCCATTACCTCTCTCTGCCCTCCAACCTGAAGACGCCCATCACACTCTTCCGCATGGCCACGGCCTCAGCCCCTGGCCGACCTGGGCCCAACAGTCTGCGGTTTGGGATTGTGGGTGGGAACAGCCGCGGCCACTTTGTGATGCAGCGCTCAGACCGGCAGACAGGGGAGCTGATCCTTGTCCAGACCCTGGAGGGGCCTCAGACACTGGAGGTGGACGTTGACATGTCAGAATACCTGGAGCGCTCCTTCCAGGCCAACCATGTGTCCAAGGTCACCATCTTTGTGTCCCCCTTTGACTTCTAAGGGTGCTATGGGGGCACTGGGGTGTGGAGATCTGGGCTCATTTATTTCTCTTCCCCGAAGACTCAGCTGGGGCACTCACAGACTTCTGCCCCTTCCTGCCTTGCCTCTATCCACTTGCCTATTCACCCAGGCTTCTAGGGCAGGGCTGCAAGCTGTCCCATGGAATGGCACAGAAGGACATCCACAAAACCCAAACTGCTGCCATCACAATTTTTTTCTGCTTTAAGGCCCTTTCCTTAGATTATGCACTAACTCTCTCAAACCTTTTTTTTAGGGGATGGGCAGCTTTTCAAAATGCTGTGTGAGTGGCATTGTGAGTTCTCACTAGCTGGGGAGGGAAAAGGTCATGCTGTGTATCAGATGACTGTCAACTCTTCTGCACTGTTACAGTCAAGCCTTGCTATGAATGAAGTGGTTCTAGTTATGCTGAGGGTAAGTCATGCCCCGTGCACCTGTGGCATAGGAGGCAGAGTGTCCTCCCATGACCCAGCATGTTCTTGTCTGCATTCCCCTCTGTGACATGCCTGCTGGCCTCCCCATCAGAGAGCCAGGAGGGCCTATAAACCGCACACAGATCCTTCCAGACCAGGAAAACATTAAAGCATAGATTCTGCCTGAATTACTACCTTTTTGAGAAATCATATCCCCAAAACATAACCTGGCTTTATAACTGAAGAAATAAAGTCTGTTGCTCCTCCCTGCCCACCTGAGTTCTCCCTGACCATGAGATAGCTCACTTCCCTCGAGGAGGGGACAGCTGGCTCTTTTCCTGTCTGGGTTGGACACACTAGGATAAATGAATAAGAGAGAAGGCACAGAAGTGATGTTTGGGATTGCTCCACCAATACAAATTTATTGTGGCCACATGGGAGATTGGGAAGGGCAACATCGGGCCATGGAGAGTTTAGAAAAATGCTCAAGTTGTTGATTCCATGGCCTTCTGCTTCTGACGGAAGAACGCAGGAGTGCTGACCTCCAGGTGAGTGAAGAAGGAAAACACTGGCCAGGGCTGAGGGTGGGGTGGGGGAGACCATTCAAGTTAAAACTGAAAAGCTAGCTGAGTTGTGAGGAGGTTTCAATATCCAAATACATGTTAATCTACTGATGAGATTTCCTCACGCATATTTAAAAATACTTTGTATCTGCGCTGGTATGAGATGGAGCCAGAGGAAGTGTGTCACCATTTTGGTGATTGAGCCCCATATCAGGGTGGTTTCTAGGATGGTTTATCCCTGTCCTCTTTTGTCAGACAAAGAGTGAGCACAGTCAAGAGTTGTTTTTAACATTTTTCTTCTCTCATGGGCTCAGCTATGACCTCTCTCTAACAAGAGAAAAAGTGTCTGCTTTTCTGGGTTGTTTCAAGAATTTATTAAAACATTATCCACAGTCTTGTGTTTCTAAATGATGCTAAGATGGGTCATAAGCGCACGCCACCCAGTCCTTTGTGTGAACCAGTCCCGGGGTGGAAAAGTCCAAGGGCCTGGCCAAGTTCCTGAAAGTGAGATGTCACAGCTGTGGGCTCTTTCTTGTTTCCTTCTGGGAATCAGGGTGGCTTGGAGGGACAACCTATCACCCCCCAACACGTGAGGGGTGATTTGGGAGTCTAAAGAACAGTTGCCCCACCTAAACTGTATATGATGATGACTTTGATGCTACACAGGTCCAACTAAAGCAATAATTTTCATCACCAAAACCCGCCATCATCAAATCTGCTTCCCAGTTATGAAATCACACGCTAAGCCCCAGTCCCCATGGCACCAAAATATGAATGCCTGACTGTTTCGGACCCCTCTTGTGGATTATGGCTGGGCCCTGCCCACCCTGGGTAATACCTTGTTTTCTATACGTTCTCCCCTCACTTCCCCTATGGAAACCAACTTCTCCTTTGTCCTTCCATAGCTCCAGTCTGTGCTAAATCAGAGTAGCTAGTAGATAACAGCTCCCCTTTCCAGGTAATATAGTTTCATATTATTGGGGGAGGGAGCTTTAAAACTTTTTATTATGCAAGTTGCAAACATATATATACAAGTAGACAGAACAGTATAATGAACCCCATGTCTTACCAGCTTCAACAATTAACACATGACCAATCTTGTTTCATATGCTCTCACCCCACCTCATGATTTTGAGGTAGATCCCAGATATATCATTTCAACATGTATCTCTGAAAGATAAGAACTTTTTAAAAAAAGCATAACCTTAACACCATTCACATCCAAAAAATTAACGATTCCTTAATACCTTCAAATATTCAGTCATTGTTCAAATTTCCCTGGGTGGCTAATGATTTGTTTGTTTGCTTGAATTAGGTCCATGACTGTACGTACTGATATGCCTCTTAAGTCTCCTTTAATCCGTAGCAGTGGTTCTCACACTTCAGCATATATTGGAATAACCTGGAGGTTTGTTAGAAGACAATGTTGGGTTGTTTATACTGTAGAATTTCCTCAGTCTGGGTTTTCCTGAGTATATCTCTGTGGTATCTTTTAACATATTCCACTGTCCTCTCTACTTCTTATAAATTGGTAGTTATACCTAAAGATTTAATCAGACTCTAGTTAGATTCATCTTGGCAAAACTACTTTATTGGCAGTGATAGGTACTTCCAGTGGGAGGCACATAGTATATCTGGTTGCCTTTTCTGATGTTAGCAGCCATTGCTGATTATTGCATAGATCCATTACTTCTTTAGGGGTTGCAATTAATATTCTAGTGCTGTTATTTTTTTGTTTATTAGCTGTCATATCTTATAAACAGAAGCTTCCTTTAATCAATTATTTGGTTACCCTGAAATTTGGTATATATAGAGAAGGCAGGATGAATTCTTGACTTTCCCCGCTTTATTTTCCAGTTTTCAAAATGAGGTGGTTGCCTGACATCTTTCCAAGATGTCCAGTGAGAGCTGTTTTCTTCTCTGAGTACATCTGAACTCATGGCTGAAACATATTTGATGTGTTTCAACCCACTGCAGTTATTATCCTTATTGTTGCTCAAATCATCCTATCTTTGGCCCAAGGGAGCTGCTTTTAGTTGGCTGATTTCTTTTGACACGAGCTTAGTAGTCTTTGACAGTTTCCTAGTTATCTTGTGTGATAAGACGTCTCAAGTTGGCTCATATGTTTTCTGCCCAGCTCCGAAATCAGACATTTCTTCCTCAGAATCCCTAGTTCATTCTGGTGGGGAATGGTAATTAGAGATCAGGATCTGGGTGCTAGGAGTGCACACTGGTAGTGGTTAGGTCATTATTTCAGTATATTCTCTATTATAAAATGCCCCATTGTGAGGACATATTATTGTTTATTCAAGCAGTCACTCAAGTTGTTTCCAGTTCTTTACTATTAAAAATATTGCAGCAATATATGCATATGTCTTTTTGTATTTTTGCCTTTGTATCTCTGGGGCCAATTTTGTCTCCTAGTAGAATTATGCTACTTTCCACCCTCAACAGCAATGTATGAGAGTTCTTGTTCCTAAATCAAAGAAAGTCAAAGTGTTGCCCCTGGTTCTCACATCTGTCCGACCCACCAGACCTTCCTTTGGAAGGACAGAGAAGCCTGAGTGGAGGTCTATTTTAAAGCTATCCCACATGCCTGTCTTGGACTTTTGACTAGCAGTCAACAGTCACCAGGAAAAGATGAGAGGCAAGCCAAGTAGATCATGGGCTCTTGGGCAAGGGAAAGTTAGCTAGGATTTTGGATGACTTTTTTTTTTTTTTTTTCCTTTTTTTTGGCAGCTGGCCAGTACAGAGATTTTGGATGACTTTTAAAAATCACTTTTTAAAAAAGTATAACACCTCTAACACTAGCAAACAAAAAGGAAAATAAGCCTAAAGCAAAATGACATCATCACAGTAAAGTTGATGGGTTTATTGAGAATCTGAGCATATGCCAAGGAGAAACATGAAAAAGTCAGAGAGTTGAATAGGTCACTTTCCACCAGCCACTGCTTCAGCTTTACCAAGCTCTCACTGCAGGGATGGAAAGATGAACTTTTATGACTCTTAGTACATATGAAAATCTCTAAGTGTAAGCTGCATTAAGATTCCTGAGCATATACTGTGTTACAGGCATTATTCTAGTTGCTGAAGATACAATGGATGACAAGACTACAGAGACGCTGACCTAATGGAGCTTACGTTTTAGCAAGGGGACAGACAATATACCTGTAAAAGGGAAGTGGGTAATGTCAAAGAGGGATGAGTGCTATAAAAATAAAAGCAAAAGAGGGTTGTATGTAGCGAATACACGTATACTATACATAGATATACCACTCATGTCACTTGGATGTTGCAAACACTGTAACTGTGTGTGGTGATAGTTGGATCCTATTTCCTGTGTGTTTGAAATTATGACTCAGAATCTCTCTTGACGATTTGAATGAGGTAGTAGTGAAAAGCCTGGGATGACCGTATTGGGTTCATGTGCACAAAGGAAAGCCACTTGTCTACAGAGAATGTACTGCCCTACTCTGTTGATATATTTACATATAGTATTGTATTGGTCAGTTTCTGTTGCTTATAACAAAATTCCTGAAACTCAGTCATTTGTAAGCAGACAAAATTTACTGCTTACAGTTTCAGAGGTTGGGGAGTCTGAAGTCCAGGGAACACATCTGGTGAGGGTCTTGGTGGTAGCCAAGTGACCCAGGGGTCTCACATGGTAGAAATGGAGAGACTCTCATGTGCTCTTCTTTTAAAGGCCTCAGAACCAAGCCCCTAACCACCATTATTAATTAATTCACTACAGCATGATCCTACAATCTAATCACCTCTTCAAGGCCCCACCTTTTAATTACTTTAATAGGATTTCCCACATTCAATAGTCACATTGCGGGGGCCAAGTTTCCAATATCTGGGACTCTTGGGGGAAACAATTTAAGCCTTCAGTGAGTTTGGAGGGACATTCAATCCACAGCATTATGACCCTGGCCCCCCAAAATTCATGTTCTTTTCACATACATATACATTCATTTTGTCCCCAAAGTCTTAACTTGTTTCAGCTCAAAGGTCCAAAGTCCAAAGTCCCAAGTCCCATCTGTGAAGTCAAAACAAGTTATCTACTTCCAAGATACAATGGTGTGACAAACACAGGGTTTCCCATTCAAAAGCGGAGAATAGGCCAAAAGAAAGGGGTAACAGGTCCTAAACAAGTCCAAAATCCAGCAGGATATAGGCATTAAATCTCAAAGCTGGAGAATCATGTACTTTGACTCCATATTCGACATCCTCTGCACACTGGTGTCGGGGGCTGGGTCCTCTAGTCTTCAGGCATCTTTGCTTCTATGGCTTTCCTGATCTCAGGCAATGCTTCAACTCTCGCAGGCTAGTGTTGCAAGCTGGTAGCTCTACAATTCTGGGGTCTCCATGGTGGTCCTGCTCTCACAGCTCCAGTAAGCATGGCGCTAATAGGTTTTTTCTGCTGCAACTCCAAACCCATGTTTCCGCTTGGCATTGCTCCAGCGAAGGCTCTATGTGGTGAATCCGCCCCTGTGACAGATTTCTTCCTGGGTCCCTAGGCTTTTCTATTTTATATATACATATATATATATATATGTATATATGTATATATGTATATATGTATATATGTATATATAAAATCTCCTTTGAAATCAGGTTGGAGGCTCCCAAGCCTTCACAGCTCTGGCACTCTGTGAGCCTGTAGACCTAACACCACATGGATACCACCAAGGCTTCCAGCTTGTATTTTTCAAAGCTGTGGATCCAGGCACAATTGGAGCCAATTTAGCCATGGCTGAAGCAGCCAAACAGCTGGGGTGCTGGTATGGGGAGCAGTATCCCCTGGGCGGCGAGCCTGTGGAGGGTGCCTCAGACCTCTTCCCCAAGACCATTCTGTCTTGCTAAGCCTCTGGGCCTGTAACAGAAGGGTTGGCCCCAGAGGCTTCTGCAATGCCTTCAGGATCTTTTCCCCTTTCTCTTGACAATCCCTTTCTTTTGTACTGATCTTCCTAGCACCATTGCATTTTTCTTCTGAAAATGCTCACTGGTTCTCTACCACATGGCCAGACTGCAAGTTTTATAAATCTTCATGTTCTGCTTCCCTTTTAATTATATATTCTGCCATAACTCAGCAAAGACTGTTGCAAGTAGCCATGCAGCTTCCTGAATGTTTTGCTGCTTAGAAATTTTTTCCACCAAATACTCCAGGTCAGCACCTTTAAGTTTCACATTCCACAAAACTTTTGGGCCTGAACAGAATGTAGCTAAGTTCCTTGCCAGTTCATAGCAAGGGTGATTTCTGCCCCAGTTTCCAATAAGTCCCTTATTTACATGTGAGACCTCCTTAGAATGGTCTTTACAGTCCATATTTCTATCAGCATTCTGGTCACTACCATTTAACCAGTGTCTAAAACATTCCAAGCTTTCCCTG